CCCCAAAACCCCAAAACCCCAAAACCCCAAAACCCCGAATAATAAATCAATTATTGAAATAAAGAAGGTACAGTTTGTTATTAAAGGGCTAGTAGGGGATGGAACCAGCCCACACAAAGTCTAAATGCATTTTAAAGCCTTGAACAACCACTCCAAGCGGGTTCTGATAGATCTAGAGCCTATGAAGTCTGTGGTTGTTGGGCCCAGTTTGAGATTACTTAAATTTTTGAAGAATTTCATATCTTTCTAATTAAAAATGTTCAAAGACTTTCCAGGTGATTTTCTAGATACTCCTTTTAAAATTACTTGAGCTATTAGGATAATTTATCGGATTTAGGTGCACGAATGTCGAAAGCCATCACAGAAGAAGTAGGTGCTCTTCTAAACCCCTATCTAGAGAAGACTTAACATTGAGAATGCTATGAAAATAGTCCACAATAAGGTGAGCTCTAGAACGCCATATTGGTACAAACTCAATGAACTCGTTGAAAAGATCAAGGATTATAACAGAGTAAGATCTAATATCACAATTTTTCATTTTTAGAAATCGAGCATGGATGATAAAGTCGAATCCTTGAGCCACAGGAGAAGACCAATCATGAAGAAAAATCCAAATAACTTTTCTAGAGCAAGATTCAACAGCACTAATTCAAACTTAAAAAATAAGAAACTGGCTCTGACTAAGATCAGGGCTACGAATTTACTCTTAAGTGAACCGAAATAGACCCTCTATTTCAGTAAGTATTTGAAGCTCGAGGAGAAGCTCAGAGGCTCCAAAAGATATTTTCCTTAAGAAAAATGAAGATTTCGTAATGGAAGGGATCGTTCAAGCTGATGAGAACTCGGAGCAGTCCCCTCGGAAGTCTAAGGAGCACTTCAACCGTTCCTGTACCCTTGTGAGCTAATGTTTTAGGGATTAAGAAGGACTGCCAGTCGATTAGGATGATCAATGATATTAACCGCACAACAACAAATTTCTCTTCAGAGAAATCTCACAGGAAATACAACTTCGCTAGTGAAAGGATTAGTGTGAACTATTCTAATATCCAGGACCAGCTAAACCATACACATAAGCTAAGTTTTGACAGGGATCGGCTAGAGAGACTTGCCCTTCCCAGGGGAATAATGAAGGCTAAGAAGAAGAGGGGCCACCGTCTAAAAGTCTCTCATAAGTTGCCTTTGCTCATCGAGACTCTGAACAAGAGTGCTGAGAAGGACACTTATAATCATCTCCATAAAGCTTGTATTTATGGTGTAAAATTGGACCAAGTCCCAATTCTGAAGAAGAAAGTTGATGACCTGAAGGAGACTATCAAGGACAACAAGGCGAAGTCTAAGAATTTACGGAAGACAATGAGATACCTCAGGACCTTGAACAAGGCCAATAAATCGCAGGTGAACCACTAATGTAGAGCTAGGCTGAGGTCAACCTAATTTTGAGGATTTGTAGTCAAAAATTCTATAAACCTAGGCCAAAAAGGGGTTTTGGGGTTTTGGGGTTTTGGGG